CGCACGTGTGTGTATCTCCCCCACGCACACTTCAACATGCCCAAACATCCTCCCCTACAAACCCCACATGCAATCACCCCCCCCCAAAGAGTGCACCTACCTACACCCCCTATGTACCCCCTACCCTCCACATGGCACAGCCCCACATCCAGCCTCCCAATCACACCCCACCCCACACACAATATACAAGAGTAAGACTTTATTTTGAGCTATTTTACGATTGCCTTTATATACACTATGCAAGCATACATAAATAAGGACAAAAATTTTTTTTGAAATAAAATATGTTATGATAGATGTTTGATTTTTAGTATATGGTTTGTTTTTTTCCAGTTCCAAGATGGCAAACCCCTCTTCCCAAAAGGAGTACTTCTGGGGGCAAGGGGAGGGACTTCCAGTAGCACAATGAATTGGCAGCTAACACAGTCAGGGTGGATTTGATTTAACTCAAATTGATTTAAATCAATGGTCAGAAAGCCTCGGTTTAATCACTGTTTTCTACCAAAAGTGCATTCTTATTGTTTGACATCCTCAGTTCATTTAACTTCTTGAAACTTTGCACTTTTAGAGAGAGGTAAGGGCTTGGCTCTGTGTACACAAACTTGCAGAGAGCCACAGATTTCATAGGCATTAGGGCTGGAAGGGACCTCGTGAGATCATTGGGTCTAGCCCCTGCCTAAGGGGCAGGAAGTCAGCTAGGCTCAGATGACCCCAACGAGATAAGCATCCAAATGTTTCTTAAGGGTACCCAGAGTAGGTGCTTGCACCACTTCTGGGGGGAGCCTATTTGAGACTGAAACAAGAGGGCTGATGGGTAGGTAATCCGGTCTCTTATCGCTCATCTCCACATACTGCTGTTAACAAGGATGTTATCTCTGGAGACAAATCCAGAGTCTGAGAATTGAAACTAAGCATCACAGAGATGCTTAATGGAGTCTTCTAGACTGAGCACTGAGTCCCTTTGGGTAGAGTGGTTTTCTTTAATCTTTACTAATCTATAGAGAAGGCTCTGGGGAACCCTATAAGATTGGGCTCCTAATATAATCCATGGCCTGTTGTGACTTATTTATAAAACTTTTCTAAAATGGTTTTATGAATATATTATCTCAAATAGTAAATCATTAGAAGTTATAATCCCTATTTCATGATGATATGTTTGAGCTTTAACATATCTTAAATTAAAACTATCTTTATATAGGTTTATTTTTCTAAAAAAAGCATCTTAACAAAAAAAATAAAAAATAGGATTAAATAATCTCATTCAACTAAAAAAAATGATTTTGCACGTGTACACCCTGCACAGAGTAGCTGTGGAGACAGCTTGCCCTCCTCCAGGGAGGAAGTTGTCCTGTTGTGCATCAGTTGTCTCTTGGGTTAGTTAGGGATGATGAGGTTGAACAGACCTAGGAATCAGGTCCAAATACTCAGCCAGAAGGGTGGTAGCTCTGCTGGGAGGTCCTAAGAGATGGGGGACATGACAGGAAGACTTCATAGAGACTCCACCTACAGCAGGGGTTTTCAACCATTTTGGATCAGTATACCTCTGGCGGCTGAATGCAGAGCAGGGGTGGAGGTGGTGCACAGCTGAACACAGAGTGGTGGCAGTCGCTGCATGAAAGCTTCCCCCTCCCCCCACATCCCCAGGCCCCCCTAGGGACTTCTCAAGTACCTCCGGGGGTACGCATACACCCAGTTGACAACCCCTGACCTAGAGCATCGAGGACCCTGGATGTTAGGAGGAAGGTTATCCAACCACCAGCTGCTGCCTCCACATCCTACACAGAGCTCATGGCATTCTCCATTGGAAGATTTGGAACTCTTCACACTTGTACAAAAAAGAGAGCATTCATCGCATCTCACAAAACTCTCAGGAGGTAGACAGTCATTGCTACGTCCAATTCTACAGGTAACCAAACTGAGAAACCCCATGGTTTACCCACCAATGTTGCACTAAGTCAATGAAAGACCAGGAAGGGCACCAGGGACACCCATTCTTCACTGCTGGCTGTGTGGTGGCAGAAAGGGTGAACTCAGATACACCAGTGCATACCTGGAGTAACTGCATTGAAAAAAGGGAACAACACTGGTATATCTGAAACTGGCCTAACATGCTATCTCACGTGAAGCTTTTTATATGTGCCTACTGATTCTGAGTCAAACCCTGAGCTCCTTATTCAGGGCAGTCACATATGCATGAACTGTCAGTAGAACTCCTTGTTGCCTTCAATAGGTAACTGTGATTAAAAATGCACAACACAGCCTCCATTTTTATTCAGTTTTTACTCACTCCTTATTCAGTCCAGCCCACTGAGTAAAAATTGAGTAAGGGCCTCAGGACTTACCTAAAGACATGTACCAGGGATAGATAAAGACATGTACCGGGGTAGATATATTGTGGCCTATTGTCTCCTAGGAAGACCTGCGTCAAAGATGGGCATGTTGGTAAAATCCAATTTTGCAAACAGAAATGGCTCCAAAATTCATATAAAAGGGTGTTTTTACCAATGTGTAAATGTAAAATGCATGAGTGAGTGTCCAGGACCCACTTCCAGTCCATGGAGCAAACAACAAGTGTTTACTGAAAAAAAAATGTTCAAAACCACATTTACAGAAGAGGCAGAGTATCCCCAGATATGCTGTCATTTATACCCTTGGAAATCCAGAGTAATTCTGTTGACTATGTCTTCACTTCCACCTTTGAAAGTCCAGCAAACTCCAATGCAATGGAACTCTCTGTCCTTCCATACACACTGGTGGTACTCCACTCTCCTCAGCAGACGTGAAAGTAGGATAAGCCCACAGACTTCAGTGGCTTGATAAACATAAAAATACTCTTGATTTACAACTCCTGTGAAGAAGGCCTACTGTGTTCAGTGGAGATGTTCCTGATTTATTCTGCTCTTGCACAACCAGAATGAGGCCTAATCGTTCTTAAAGAGGATGTCAAAATATGGTAAAATATGAGACATACCATGTAATATCTAGCAGGGTGGAACATATCCAGTATAATTCCACTGACTCAATGGGGTGAGCTCTGCTTTACTGGTGTAATTTGGAATGAGGATCTAGTCTTAATTTTCCAATTACCAAACAACATCATCAGGCCATGTATAAACAGACACTAACTGCTTTCACAGTCTGCTCCTCCCTTCCTCTAGTGAACTCTCCCACTGACAGACTCCATCAGAGAGCCGCCCAGCGTACACAGAAGCAGATTCAGGGTTAAGAACGAAACTCGCTGTCCCCCATCCCACTGTGCTAACTGTAGGTGCTGCAGGAACCCTTAAACAGAGGGATCTCATATATACTGGGACTCGAGCTGGGCACAACAGGCCGAGTAAAGGGTGAAATTCCAGACTTCACTCTGAATTTCCTTGCCTCATAGGGGTTTACGTCAGACCCTTCACGTTACTTGAATGCAGTTTCTTTCGTGGTTTATTTTATATCTACGAGTTATGTAGTCCCAGAAACTCTCCTCCTGCAAA